TATTTAGTGTAAAGGCCAGCATTACTACATATGTACACCGGTGTGGGTTATAACGCAATTATGCAAGATTTTAAGATTGAAAAATATTTGAGTAATTGGATTATTTATGTTTCAGTTTCCCTCAGTGGAATAACACAAAATTAATCGAAACGCACTAACTTTGAATTAACAAGCTCTGATATTTCCAATTTTAAAAGCCATATTCATTTTTATTTAGCCGAAACGGATTATTTAAACTTCAATAGTACACTAACAAATGCGAGATATAAGAATCTATTGATCACAAAAATAAATTTATTTTAAAGATGAAATTTGCATTAACATTACTAGTTAAAAATTTTTAAAAGATTTGCTTCTAATAATTAAAATGTAGCAAAGAATGAAAGGGAAGCAATATTTTCTATTTATCATATTTGTATGACAAATTTAAAGTAAAATACTCATAAAGTATGAGTACTTTAGAAAGTTGCTATGTGAAGAACAACAGATAGACAGAGGATGCGGGATCCCAAATGAGAATGTAATACCGGAGATAGCCAGAGATGAAGTTGTTAAGGCGTTAAAACGGAAGAAGAACAATAAGGCAGTAGGACCTGATAGAATACCTGTGGATTTTTGAAAGGCTCTGGAGAAGAAGGGTTTGATATTTTGTAGCAAATGATGAGTAGGATATAGGAAAAAAAAAGGATGCCCATTGCATGAAGGGAGCGTGTGATGGTATCATTGTATAAAGAAAAAGGGGACATTCAGAACAACTCTAAGAACTATAGAGGGATAACGTTAATGTCGTACACAATGAAAATTTGGGAGAGAGTTGTAGTGCAATGGTTAAGAAGACAGACATCGATGGGAGAATAGTTTGGGTTTATGCCAGGAAGGAGGACAACGGATGCCTCGTTTTGTTTGAAACAGTTAAAAGAGACAAACAGCGAAAATAAAAGAGAGCTACATTTGATATTTATGGATCTTGAGAAGGCGTACGATACAGTTACTAGATAAGATCTATGGAGATATGTGACAGAGAAATGAGCTCCTAAGAAATGGTTCCTGAAAAATGATTTGTGAGAAATGAGCAGTACGTTAGACTCGTGAAGGATATGTATATAATGTTCTAGAATTTTCGGCGGATTCTTAATGATTTTGGTTTGTTGCACTGTTGAAATATTTCTGTTGTTTTCGGAAGCATTTCTTTCCCCTTTAATTTGTTGGTGTAGTGGACGGTGGACATATCCCTATTTTACTGAACCCAGCCATTATATTGGTCGGCGTAGCAGCTAGAGGCAGACTCAATTTTACAATGCCAGGAACATCATATATTGAAAATGTCTTACCTGGATTGTTCACCATCCAGTTGTCCATAGCTGAATTGCACTATTTTTTTGGGGGTCTTATCTAGAGGCTGCAATTTATGGGAGCAGTGCAGAGGGAAAGATAAAACTGTTACTCCATATTCCTTACAAATATCTAACGGCTCCATAGAAAGGTGGGATTTATAGTTGTCGAGCAGCAAAAGTATGGGGCGCTCCCTAGAACATCTTGTGTTAAACTCAAAATTCTTGACGAATTTCCCTGTAGTTTACCTTTGGGAAAATAAAGAACGGAGGAACAGTATTGCCACTTGCTGAAACTGCAACATTGAGGGTTACAAGGGCCCCTCTTTCTGCGAACGTAAGTTTGCCTATCTGTTTGAAGCCACGTCGTGCCACTATTCTATCAGGTTTCTGAACAGTTGTGATACCCGTCTCGTCAACGTTCCAAATATCCGATACTTGCAAATATAGACGCTTATATACCGTTTTTAAATTGTTGAAAAACATCTACATCTGATTTGTTGAATGAAGTGGCTCTTGACAAACTAGTGGCTTGTGGTGTCTTCAAGGATAATGTTCTATTTCTCTTGATATAAGATGTATACCAATCTGGACCTGCTATTATATTATTTGTCCAGATATCTGGAACTTTTAGATGATTTGCACTGGCATACTGGAAGGCAAATTTTCTAATCTCCTTTGGGGTTAAACCGTAATAAATATACGAAGCTTGTTTTAAGCAATTATCTGGAAGTGTCTCTTGTTCCTCAGAAAAAAATATTACGCCCATTGTTCAGCAGTCAACAGTGCAAGAGCCGTCCCTGCATGGGCCACAGGGCGCATGCATCGAACACTAGCGACAACGACACATCGCGTAGCTGTCAAGAAGAAGAAATAAGACATTCTTTTTTTGTTTTTTGTTAATTTTAAGCTTTATAAGATTTATAATAAAAGGTGACAGTCGGAATAATTATTTTTCATACAAAGAAATACAGTCCACAAACTTCTGAAGGCTCAGAAATAAAAACTTTATTCACCCATTGAAATACATTCTAGCTTTACGTTCCCACGATCTGATCTGGCTTTAACTACATAGCGTTAAAGTGTTTTTTGTGATATTGGGAAGTCTTTTGCGGTACTATTAACATTTCTGCCATCATTTAAAACTGTTATAACTGCCCGTTGAATGATATCAGGTGCTGTCTTGCTCTTATCATTTTTTCTCTTGTAGCTTCTCATAGTTCTGTTGTAACAAATAAAAAGACGATTAACGCTTCAGATATATTTTCATTGGAAGAAACATATTCAAAATAACAGTTGCTAATGTGTTAAGGCCGTATGACACTATGCATTCTCTTGTATCATTTCTTATATCGTTTCTGATATAACAAAAAAATGGATAATGTCATACAAGCGTATAGTTTCTTATATCAGAAACAATACAAGAATTTGTGTCCGCTACATTTTCTTGTACAAGAAATGCGCCAATTTGTGCGCAAAGCCCCAAAAACGTAAAACTTCTGTCTTCTGTCATATTGGCAGCTGGAAGAGATATACAATAAAATTAGACCAAGCAGGCATCAGAAAAAATTGCACACCAACAATAACCAAGATTAGAACATCAGTAGACAAATTGAAAAACAATAAATCACAGGGTTTGGGTCAAATAGCATCGTAACTACTGAAAGATGTTTTACTAAAAACAGTAGGAGATGTTTTTTTTTATAAAAAAAAACTGTGACGGACGATTTTATAGATAATAACACGAAAATGTTGAGAACCAAATTAATTACTTACCAAGGATGATTCTAGATTTCTCGTTCTCACCGACACAAAATACAAGCTATCATAACAGCGATATTCTAAAATGGAGGCGCAAGAGTGAACAGTTCAAGTATCGTGACTCGCGACGACATCTGTTATACATTAGAGGAAGGAGAGGCAATTAGTCAACTTACCCCTTTATTTAACTAGTCCCGATCTCCTCTACCCCAAATTAAAAAAAAACATTAATTTTCATTGATTAGAACGAGGTATTGTAAATTTTATAAGTTTGAATTTATGAATGCAGTTTGTGAAATAGTAAAATCAAATAATAAAAAAGGGCTAACTCATGTTCTAGGGGTCATAGGACATTGTATGTTTTTTTTTTGTTAAAAAAAATCTACTTCCTATATATGTGAATGCGTTTTTTAAATAATTACCGTTAATTAGTTATTTTTCATGTTTAAAAGCTTAAAATTAAGGTAGTTTAGTAAATCTAATTTCCAATAATCCCCATACATTTTTGAAACCATCGTTCTTCTTCTTACGGTGCCTTATCCTTAAGGACGTTGGCCATTACATTTGCCAATTTAATCTTATTTGTAGCAGTCCTAAATAGTCCTATGGAGGACATGTTCGTCCATTGCTGTAGGTTTTTAAACCAAGAGTTGCGTCTTCTTCCTGGTCCTCTTTTGCTATTGACTTTGCATTCGATTATAAGTTGGAGCAGTTCATACTTTTGATTTCTTATGATGTGACCAAAATATTGTGTTTTCCGTTCTTTTATTATAAGCATAAGCTCTCTTTCCTTATTCATCCTCCGCAAGACTTCCGCATTTGTCGTATGGCTCATGTAGGATATTCTGAGCATTTTACGGTAACACCAGAGTTCGAATGCTTGGATTCTTTTTTGTGTTGCTTCTGTCATTGTCCAGGCTTCAACACCATAGAGCAAGGTGGAGAAAACATAGCACTTAAATATTCTAGTTCTCAATGAGATGCCCAGCTGGCGGTTGCATAGAACTTTTTGCATTTTGTAAAACATTGTACATGCCTTTTCCAGGCGTATTCTTATCTCTAGTGAGTGGTCAAAAGTTTCATCAAAATTACTTCCAAGGTACGTTGTTCTTGTTACTCTTTCCAGATCTGTTCCGTCGACATTGACCTTCACCCTTCTGTTTTGGTGCTTGCTGATGACCATCGTTTTTGTCTTCTTTGTATTCAATTTCATTACAAAGTAATAGTTTACGTAAAATAACGGTGTAAATAAAAGTTTTCTGGGATAAACAATTTCTACAATGGCTGTTAAGTGAAGCTTCATGAATTTTTAGAAAAGTTTTTGTTTATTTTCCAATTATTAAAGATTTGCAATATGTTGTGTTTGGACAATAATCAAATTTGATAATACAAACAGACAAATTAGCATGACTAAAGATTATCTGCCAGTGCTGACCCTTCTTAATTAAAGTAAACTAAAATTAATATCTAAAAATGTTTTTCATGTTTTAAGTCTTCTTCCCTACACTTTTTTATTTCTTCGTGCAGAGAGATCACAATATGTGACTTCATTACGGACGTCGGATGCATAAAAACCTGCATAAGGAACTGTGATTGGAACCTCTGCAGAATTTCATTATTGGATTAGCTTGCATTATCTGCAGCTATCTTTGCAATAATTAGGCGACGAATTAACAAAAATAACTTTTCAAATTCTATTTTTACAGGATTTTCTATACCGCTGAATATTTTACATATTTTTTTTATCTCATATTGTTTTCATCAAATTTATCAAAAGCAGTTGTGTCACCAAAAAGGCTTTTTATTTTATTATTTCTCGGGTTTACTAATCTTATATTCAGCCTGTACACATACTGGCACTGGATGCATTTACTTTTAAATTTACTTACATAAAAATATATTTTTTAGGGAAAAATTGAAAATCAAGGAACCTTTAACGAACTAGTGAAAAGTGATAATGAATATGCCAAACTACTTACAGCTGAACCAGAATTAAATGAGGAAGAGAAAGCCAAAGAAATCGAATTAGTTAGGCAAATTTCAAGGGTATCTAAAACGGTATTTATTATATTATAAAATAAATTCAACATCTATCTAATAATTATTAATTTTCAGAGTCGAAAAGCTTCTCTTGCCAGTATAATAAGCTCCAAAAGTTTTGTTGAAAGTATGTTAGACGGGGACGATGATGACGACGACAGTGATGACGAAAGTAGAAAACCCGAAATGAAAGATTTACAGGAGGAAACTTCCAAAGGAAAGGTGTTCGGTTCTCTTTTGATTCAATATTTAAGAACAGGAGCCAATTTCTGCAATGTTGTGATGATGTTAAGTCTTTTTATTTTCGTCCAAGCTAGTGGAAGTCTAGTCGATTATTTTGTGAGCTTTTGGACCAGTATAGAGGATGCACGCAATGCTAAAGTTCTGGAGGCTACTACACTTGCTAACCTTAATTTTACTGGGGTTACAGATATACCAAGTACTGTTTCCGATAATGTTACTGATATTGCTAGTACAATCACACCAAAACCCGTTTGGAAATCAATTTTAGACTATTCAAATTGGAGTAGTGAAACGTGCCTTTATATCTACGGAGCTCTTATTGTAGTGGTAGTACTGCTAACACTTGCAAGATCTTTTTCGTTTTATTCTATGGTGATGTCATGTTCCAGAAACCTTCATAAATTCCTATTTCAAGGAATAATTTATGCTAAAATGCGATTCTTTGATACAAATCCAAGTGGAAGAATTCTTAACAGGTTTGCTAAAGATGTTGGTCTTATTGACGAAGCTATACCAAAGGTTCTGTTGGATGGTGGTACGGTAAGTGTTTATTCTAATACATTAAATATCATGACCATTATTAAATGATACAAATGAAAGTGGCATAAGTCAATTTAAGACATGTCTGAGGAATAATGTGGTTAGTTAAAATCGAAAAAAAAAAATCAAATAAAACGATACAGCAATACAAGTAACTGAAAAATGTCTACGTTTAAGTGTTCAGTCTTCTTCTTCTTGTAGTGCCGTTTCGGATATTGGCGACCATCATGCCAATCTGTATTTTGGGCAAAGCTGCTCTGAAAAAAGTTTGGGTATTGTGTAATGTACGTAGATTTTTCAGCCAGGAAATCTTTCGCCTTCCTGGTCCTTGTTTTCCTTTAACTTTTCCTTGTAAAATTAACCGCAGCAACCCATATCTTTGGCTTCTCCTCATGATGTGACCAAGTTATTCAATTTTGGCTGTTTTTATTGTGATTCACATACTTTTTAATACAATCTTTTAGAATTTTATTAAACATTTAGTGCCAATAGTGTTACCACATTAGCACGTTATATACATTACATTCAATTTTGTTTTTTAAAACTTTTCTGTTACTGATTTACGTCATTTAGTTCTTTATTACTTTCCCCTTCCCCATCATTACTAGGTTCATTGATTTCCTCTTCAGTCCAAGAAAATGACTGGATATGTTGCATAGCACAGTTTATATCGTCTGATATTGTACGTGTAGGACAACCTCTTAGTCCTCTTAAGTCATCTTCATGAGACCTACTGGCTTTTTTTTTCTTAACCCTGCTGTAGTGTTCGAGTCATATATGCATATTTGCATATTTGCATGTTTTAGAACTATGCATGTTTTACACTATTTAGAAGAAGTTGTCCTAAATTTTATTATGTAAAAAAGTTATTACAAGTAATATTGTGGCCTTTCCAATCACTACACAAGTCGCACACCACACGCATTCCCTGATTCCGTTCCGACGCAGCACCTGCTTCTTTTGCTTAGAATGTACTGTTTGAAGGGAGAGCGGCCTCTAAAGGCAACTAATTGCTCGTCGACGGTAACATTTTGATCGGGGTTAAAAAATGTTGGTAGATTTTCTACCCATTTTTCCAAAACTTCGGGTATTGCAGCAAGTTTATCAGTACGTATCCTATCCTGTCTAGTAGTCTTGTTATCAAAACGTATTACTTGCGAAATTTTTATAAATACTTCCAGGACATTGCTCCTCGAAATACACTACGAACCGTTTCTTCATTCCACAAACTTTAAATTGATTCGCAATGGGACTTAAAAACTACAGCTAATAGCAAAAGACCAATATATGCTTGAAAATCAATTTTATCCAAGTCTTTCCAGTTGGTTCCAAAAACACGCTGTCCTTCCATGTTGGTAATATTTATAATTTGGTTTGCAACTACGTCAGAAAAGAGTGCGTCAAATATATTTTTGATATCGAAAATTCATGCACATGCGTACCTTGTAACTTCTGGAGCATTATTTATAACATTGGCCGTGGAAAAACGACCGCGTTGGAGAGACGACTGGATATTACCGTCTTTTGAACTAACCGTTACAGAAAGATCTTACATGATGTTGTACGTAGAATGGAACTGCAGAATCATCACTACTTTCTTTCTTACTCCCACTAATTTTATTGTTTTCTGTTTATGATATGCACTCATCACTCTCTGACACGTTCGCGAGCTCGCTAAGCTCATCTTCGATTAGCTTTCTTCGATGCCACATTATCAATATGCAAACATATACTGAAATTTAGAATCCTATCAGCCTACCATTTGTCTATCACCCCCTCTTCCTTCTACGTGACATGCCCTTCTAAATGACATCGTTTAGCTACACTACACATTTTTTACAAGTTCTAGCTTGCAAAAACTTGTTTCTATTAATAGACAAACTATTAGAAAATATATAAAATACTGCCAACTTAACATACGTATACAGATAATTTTTAACAGTTTAAATACGTGGGTCATATTAACCCAAACGTACTATAAGTAACAATTTCTATCTATCTAATTAGCCTTCTTTGGTACATCTTTGGACATAGGCCTCCCCAATCCTTTTCCATTCTTCTCTGTCTGTCGCTACAGTCATCCATCTAGAGCCCACGTGCTTTTTGATATCATCTGCCCATCTCATTTGGGGCCTTCCTCTGCTTCGTTTATATTCCCACGGTCTCCAACTTATAAGAATTTTGTGCCATCGGTCTTCTTTTTGTCTTATATTGTGTCCGGCAAATCTCCATTTCAATTTTGCAACTTCTTGTCTAACATCCCTCACTTTTGTTTTCTCTCTTATGGGAGAGAGCATCTTCTATCTCAGATGCTGTGGATATCTTTTGTTTTTAAGAATGTAGCTTAGTTTGCCAAGTGCCGCCCATGCCAGTCTAACTCGTCTCTTGATCTCTGCTGTTTGGTTCTCTTTGATAAGTTTTATAGTTTGACCAAGATATATATAATCGTTAACTTGTTCTATTTCATCTTGTCCGATTCTCATTGTGATTTCTTCATCTGTATTTGTTATAGTTTTGGTCTTGCTGTAATTCATATTAAGGCCTATCTTTCCAGCTTCTACGTCCAGTTCTTTCATCATTTCAAATAATTCTTCTTTTTTATCGGTTTTCAATACGATGTCATCAGCGTACCTTAGATGGTTCAAGCGTTGTCCACAAATTTTTATACCTTTTTTTTCCATTCTAATCTTTTAAAAGTATCTACAAGAGCCTGATTGAAAAGTTTCGATGATATTGTATCACCATGTCTCACGCCTCTACTTATTTGTAATGATTTTGTTTCTTCATATACTTTAATTGTTGTTTTGGCTTCCTTATATATATATTGGTTATTAGTTCCGTATATATGTGGTCAATTCGGCCACAGCAAGTAACAATTTAACTTTTATAAAAAAAATCAGGAACTTGATTTTTTTTTTCTCGTATGCAATTCAAAGACCTCATATTAGGTAATTAAGTCACGAAACACCAAACTGTTACGCCGCGTAATAATTTGCAAAATAAGGAATTTTTTTTTGTCAAATAGACCCTAACATGACAGCAGAGTTAAAGCGCAAGAAACTCTTCCCTCAGACACATTAAACATATCAAGAAAGTATTTCTTACAAACCATAACGGATAATTTTATGGGTATGTCAAATATAATATCTAAATAAATTAAAAGTATGGCAAAGATTTCAAACTGCATTAAAAGTGGCTTAACTAGTTTTTAAGAAAAACAAAATTAAAAAGAACAAGTCAGTGATAAAAAAGAATAAATAGAAAAACCATAGGGAGGAATAAAGATAAAAACATTTGCAATTGAAGCAATTGAAGAATCTTCGAACTGGGTAAGTAGACTTTCTGAAAAAGATGTTGAAGATGTCGTAACGATCTCTGTACTAGCTCAAATTTGCATCTTCTAGGTCCATATTTAACGAGTTTAAATTGTCCATGTGTAATTCCTCTGAAAATGTTCCATCCAAAATTTTAGCAATACAAGATAAAAACAAAAAACCTTCATTCTTGTTAAAACAGAGTTAACAGTACAACCATTACTTCCAGGTGCCGATTTAATTTTGGTCTTTAACTTATCTACTAATTTTACTGATTGACATAAAGGCTATAACGGGATAAGGTGGTCAAAAGTGCCACTTTTTAAATCTAAAAAGAAGCTTTTCTCGAATTTATTTGTTTCTAGACGCAATTTTGCTTTAACAAATCTTAAAAAATTCATGAAGATGTATCTTTCGAATACAAAATAGCCTGATTTTTTTATTTTTATATTGAAAATTGAGCCCAGGAAAAATTATTGAAATCTTCAATAATTTTTTAGGTTATGTTAATAATTTTTGGCTAACTTTTAAATACTAATTTTTTATGTATTTCTTTTTGATCTTAAATGTCCAAGGTAGAATTTTCAATTTCTGAGCGAAAAGCATCTAAAAATCAAAAAAACTGTATTTTACTCATTTATTTGCACATAACCTCAAAACTCAGTTGGTAATTCAACATTTTTCAACATTTTTTTCTTCCACATTATTAAATTCCATTGTAAAAGCCCCCATTTATCTCTTTAATATAGATAAAATTCGAAAATACCACGGTTTTTTCTCCTTTTCGCACTTTTTTTTACCTTACCTCAAAATCAGACCATCTATTTTCTTACGGGCTATAAATCATTACTGTTAAAATAATTATTTTTAAATTAAAAATTCTCAAATTGCGAAAAAATCGTGTTTTTCTAATATTTTCATAGTTCATTGGCTCATAACCTTAAAATCTAATAGCTAAATGTTCGAATTTCCGCGTATTTTTGATCGCAGCCTTCAATTTTGTTATACAATTATTTTATATTATGTAAAAATTATTATTTTAACAGTAACGATTTAGAGCCCGTAAGAAAATAGATGAAAAAGCATACATCTAAGTATCTCATTTTGAGGTAAGTGTAGCGTTTACGCTATTGTTTATATTGTTCCAATTTAAAAATTGTATTAATAAAACCCTCAAGAAATTTTTTGTGACACGCCCGCGATCGATTTTAAAACGATATTTTTCTGCACACCCGCGAGGACCGCTTTGGAATTAAAGAGGAATCGAATTTTACGAGCAGCGATCAGTTTTGGCCAGAACTCGTACTAGCAGGCACGCCGGCCGGTGAGTTTTTCTCAAGTGACGAAGTTGGAGAAAAGAAAACAATCTAGGGCAATAATAAAACAATATATAACCCAGAGATAATAATAATAATCGAATATTTTTTTTTAAAAGAAATCAATATTCATTATAACAAGAGTTCCACATAAAAGGAAGATTTTTTTAAGGCAGAAGTGGAAAAGAAGCCCCACGTTGGGCACCAATTGAAACCTCAATTGGCATCCAACGTTTTGTGGGCCCTTTGGGCCTTTAAAGTCCCTTGTTTAGTTGTATCACGTTGGATATTAACAGGTCTCATTTTCTTGTCTCATCAGTTCATTATTCTTGCTATCTGCTTTATATCTTTAAAGCCACGATTCAGTGAATTGAAGTTAGCCCGAATACTCACTTGAGATTTAGTGTCTCTTTGGCCATTTAGATTTGTTCCTCTGAGCTTAGCCATATTTTAGTATTTTCCATCACCTCTCTTCCAGTTCTTCTGAAATTTGTAAGTTCTACGCTTCCTAAAATCCAATACTACCGAAGTATAGCGGTTTCATAAGGTAAAAAAAAGTGTAAAAAGGAGAAAAAACCGTGGTATTTTTCTAAAGTTTTCTTAATGAAACAGTTAAATGGGAACTTTCACAATAGATTTTATTAATGTGGAAGAAAAAATGTTAAAAACTGTTGAATTATTAACTGCATTTTTAAGATTATGTGCAAATAAATGAGTAAAAAACAGTTTTTTAATTGTTCGATGCTTTCCGCTCAGAAATTGAAAATTTTGCTTGGTCATTTAAAAGAACGAAAAAAAAATACATAAAAAATTACTATTTAAAAGTCTAAAAAGCTTCTTTTTTAGATTTAACAAGTTCTGTGGGCCCTGGTAAGTTAAAAATTTGTAAGAAGTCATGTTTTTATATGCCTTATTGAAAGAACAAGTCGTGGTATTGATCGGTGCGGGGGCACTTTTTACCATCTTATTTCGCTATAGCCTTTACTTCTTGTATTTGTGACAAGGTAATTTTGGACAGTATAATAATAATATATGTTTATTAAATTCTTACTGGGCTTTTAACTCAAATCTTTTTTTATAGATTCCCTGTTAATTTTTGCCAATATTTGGATTTAAAGCACATTAAGCAACCTCAATCTTTTGATATGCTCTCTGTCTTACTTATACTATGCATCTCTAGAAAAAGAATAAGACATGTTGAAACTAGTTACCTTGCGGCGTAAGTAAATTATTTCTTTATTTCAGATGTTGCTTCAAATGGTTGGTTCTTTGGTACTTGTAGCTGTCGCTAATCCTTATGCTATAATAATGGGGGCTATTCTTGCATTTTTAACGGGATTAATAAGAAAACTGTATTTAACCACATCCAGAAATATCAGAAGAGTTGAAGGAATACGTAAGTTATTGTCTATTGTTAACAAATTATATAATGCTTAGATTGAAATCCATAAGTATATTAAATTCGCAATGTTAAGTGAAACAAAAATTTTTAAGAAACCTTTTATAAATATCAATAAAATTTGATAGCAATTTAATTTTTTTAACAATAAAACAATAAAAACTTTTCTTTTCACTACTTCCACAAAATGTACAAATTAATTATCACTACAACGGTTTCAGCAGAGTGCCTTTATCAATTGAGCAATTTGTTTTATGAGTCTACATTTTGTAGTCTTTAACTAAATAAGTTAGGGAGATGAGAGCTGTTTGTAAATTAGTCAAAGAATTATATCTGTATTTTTTAATTTGTTAATTTCCAAAGATGTAAGTAAAGATAAAAGTTAAAGTTCTACTCGTTTGGCCGATGTAAGTTTTTGTGGGTAGTCGTCTTATGTAAGTTTATATACACCACTATGTATGTGCTTTTTTCAAGAACAGCAAGACTTAAATAAGTCTTCTTCCATCTAACTTTCATTGTACCGTTTTCTTCTTTTTTCACGATCTTCTCATTATGCTTATTTTTTTGTATCTTTTCTGATCTTAAACAGTCCTTTACTGATCTTAAACAATCCTAAAGGACTGTTTAAGATCGGTGAAAGACAAACGCGGCCCATTAGCAACGGCGGGAGTATACCGAATACCATGCACATGTGGAATGATATATGCGGCAACCACGAAAAGACGCACAAACACAAGGATAAATGGACATAAAAGCCATTGTCGTTTCGGATACTGTTTGAAAAAAAGCAGATGCTGGACAAAACTTCACAGTACTACCCACGGTTGTATCGTGAAGAAACATTAATTTTATATTATATATATATATATAATATATATATATATATATATATATATATATATATATATATATAATATAAAATTAATGTTTCTTGGGTTTAGGTTCAATAAAGATATTACATGTGGAACTAGATTTTATTTTCCATTGCAATCAATCAACGTTTCGGCAGGAAACCCTTGCCTTTGTCAAGATTCTAAAATGTGTATATATAAGGACAAACAGATATTGTAAAATATGTATATATATATATATATATATATATATATATATATATATATATATATATATATATATGACTTACCAAAACGTAAAACGTGACACAGACATTAACGAACTGACATATAAAAGTTGATATCTGATATCTCATTGTTTACTGTCATTAGTATATAATTATTTTTATATGGGCGTATCGTTGATGTTTTTGAAAAAGGTAAGGTAATATCTAAGATGTCGGTAGTTTTTAATCTTAGATATTTTCAACAGTTACCATCCAAAATTAAAGTTCACTATAGAAATTGAACAAAATAATAAAATAAACTTTCTGGATATCACCTTACATCGCATTAACAATACAGTTAAAACCATGTGGTTTACAAAAGAAACATGGTCTTCACGACATCTTAACTACAATTCCCATCATCCATTTTTCCATAAGAAGTCTGTAATTATAAGTCTCGCTGATAAATCTATAAAACTAACAGATCCAGAATACAGACCCTGCAATACAACTGCAATAAAAAAAGCAAAAAATGCCCTTCTATAAAATGCATATCCCGAACATCTAATCGAAACCATTTTCAAATCAAGGCTCAATAAATTTTATAACAATGCAACTAACAACAAACCCAACAGTATCAAAACCACTTATACAACTCTTCCATATATAAAAGGTTTATCCGAACAACTAACAAATCTTTTAGCCAAACATAATATAACAGTGGCCCACAAAGGCAACAACCTCTTAAATAAATACTTCACAAAACTAAAAACACAAACTCCAAAACTTAAAAAATCACATGTTGTTTACGAGATACCATGTACAAACTGTGAAGGTGTCAATATCGGTCAAACCATTCAACTGCTTTAATCCAGAATTCGTTCTCACAAATACGACAAGAACAACGTCACTGCGCTCACAAAACATTAAAGCGGGAAGAAGCATAAATTTGACTTTGAAAACATCAAAATTTTAAAAACAGAAAAAAATAAAAAGTAGAGGGAGATATACGAATCAATAGAAATAAAAAGAAACACCAACGCAATAAATGACAAAAAAGATACACAAAACCTAAATAAAATATATTTCAATCTGATTTAAACAATAATAATATAACATCATAAAAAGCTCTTAAAGTCATAACATATCTCCACCTTATCTTACGCCCATATAAAAATAATTATATGATAAATAATAAAAAAAAATAATACTAATGACAGTAAACAATGAGATATCAGATATCAACTTTTATATGTCAGTTCGTTAATGTCTGTGTCACGTTTTACGTTTTGGTAAGTCATATATTATATACATATTTTACAATATCTGTTTGTCCTTATATATATACACATTTTAGAATCTTGACAAAGGCAAGGGTTTCCTGCCGAAACGTTGATTGATTGCAATGGAAAATAAAATCTAGTTCCACATGTATATCTTTATTGAACCTAAACCCAAGAAACATTAATTTTATATTAAATATAATACGGTTCAAGAAACTCAAAACTACAATATATATATATATATATATATATATATATATATATATATATATATATATATATATATATATATAAGCACCCACATAATTTTAATCAGGTTACTGAAAACTAACAAGACATACCAATATTGCAATTCACAAACACCCTTCCCGCCAAACACGAAGAAAGAAAAGCTACTACAAACGACGACACACCCCCTCAAGCCGAAACCAGGAGGGGAGGCGACTGAGAAATATAAATATTTTCTCCGTAGTATAACCCGGCGCGACTTTCCGATTATCAGAATTACCAACACTGATTATACCTTTTTGAACGCAAATGGGGCATCTATCGTGGACCACATCATCGTTACTGGTAGCGTAATGCACAGGTTCGACGATCGGTGCCACATAGGCGACACAATAACGTCTGACCATCTTCCGATATTAGTTAATTCTGATATCATGTCACCCAAAACTCCTTCACCCTCCAGACAAATAAGAGATTATCGTAATGCAAACTGGCCACATTTCAAGCAATACATCTCCAACCATATTCCTAAGTTAGGCAAAATTAATACTAATGAAAGTATTGACCAGAGTGTAATTCAAATTGAGAACCTTATAATCGAGGCAATCAATCACTCAATTCCAATAAAAGCAATACAACCCTTCTCTCCGGCACTTCCACAACACATCATTGCCAAAATACATAAAAAAAGACGACTTTTACGTCAATACAAGATCAACAGAAACCCCCTAGTCAAAAGAGAGTATAATCGCATTTCTGCTTGAATTAAGAGGGAAATATCTATCCTACTATCTATCTATCCTATCCAATTTTAATGCAAACATGCATTAACGAACTTCCGACAGAATATTTCGAAATACTTGAGGCCACTCCATATGCCTACCGCATCGCCTAGTCAATCACCCATCCCATTCCCTACCCCGGACAGGGGGAGATTGGTTTTTTGCGGTTTCCTAATCTCATTACTCCACGATACCTGTCCGTCCCTGAGAAAATAGCCGCAACTATTTTCTCACCTGAATCGACAGCCGCTGGAACCGTCTATCGAACTCCGACGAGGCCTGGCCGTTAGCGGGAGCAAACAACCACGGAATTTTAGTGCAATACACTAGTCTCGTGTTGTTTGCGAACGCATAAAGGGCTGCAGGAACAATGGTTACTAGAGAACACGGTTCTGGCTACTGTCGAGTCAGTACACAGACATTCACACACACATACACTCACACTACACACACACACACACACACACACACACACACACACACACACAACTCACACATTCCAATAGTGAAAGGGGTCCTCTTTCATGCTACCGATGCACCCTCACCACCGGAACTCCCGACCGCCTGCAGCCTCCGTTACTTTACACGGAGTCTGTGGTCGGCCGGGGAGAATCTAAGTGGTTAGAGGAGTCAGTAATACCGAAATGGTAGCGTCCGTCAGTGTTGGAATATCACACACATTCACACTGAGCGAAGTGCGACAAGCCGACTCTCTAAAGCCGAGGCGCCTCCACTCATGAGCACACCCGTCCACGAAATTTCAGTAAAATACACTGGTTTCGGGGCCGGGTAAAGCTCGAGACTGCGCAGGACCAATGGTCACTAGAGACCCGGTCTTGTCGCATCTAGCTCAAAACACACACACGACAAACTGAAAAGAACATCACTTTCAGCTAAGCCTTTCTCCCTGGTTCTCTGGCTCCCTGCATGCCGATTCAAACTCTTCCAGGTAAAGAAAAGGTGCAAAAACATCAAGAAGAAGACGGAGAAGAACTTTGCGCCGGTGACTTTTGGGTATGTTTGCCTTTGTACACGCTAACAACGACATTCAAACTCACGCCTGAAGTGGGTCAACCGACCCTAAACGGATAAAATCAATCATTCTTTCCTATCGAAATAAAGATTCCTTTCCCTATCCCAATGAGAATGAACATTGATACTACTAAAACCTGGCGTCAGTTTCAGCTTACAAGCGAAGCAGTAACATCTCCAGAAGATTCCAACCCCTAGTGTTGACGAAACGTCAAGAACTAATCTTAGAAGACAACGGCCTCACAGCCCGAACAAACAGTTTAACAAGTTAAACGATGGCCGTGAAAGCCTAACGAAGTTTATCATTCTATATCCTCATTTGTGACTAACATACCAAGAAAATGATTCAGGTGTTATTTTCTCTTTTCTTGATAAATTTGATTGATTGTTCTTTACAGTAAATATTCATCAAAAATCTATGAAGGGCTTTTGGTCCATAAGGACAAATAAATAACACATCACCTACATAATATATCAACCACACTGTCGGTTTTGCTCAAATTCTTAAATGAAAATATTGGCTCTTATTAGAGATCATAAAGAACCTATGGCTAAATTAAAAATCTTTTTTATATAAATCGCTGAAAATATGTGTTAGTTGTAAATAATGCTAATTCCTTTATTATAGCTAAAACATTAAGTTTTGTTTGTGTTGTCAATGTATCATCCCTCTCTAATTTCGTACTTATTTTTTAAAATTTGTTTGTTTGTTTTCTTAAAATTTTTAAAGTTTGCTACAAGTAAAACCCATTTCTGTGTGTATTTTTTTGACACCGTATATATCCTTCTGTAGTATAGTAGGAAATTCGATATAAATACAATGTTCAGCTTAAATATGCTATAATAAAACAATTTCAAAACCTTTTTTAACAAACTTTCTATTTCTAACACATCTAAATTATACGCTTTCGTTTGTTTTAGTAAGAAGTCCAATCTATACACACCTTAACTCAACTCTGCAAGGATTACCAACAATCAGAGCACTTAGGACCGAGAAAACTTTGCAAAACGAGTTCGATAAACTTCAAGATTACCACATAAGTATATCGTTTACCTCCATTGCTTGTGGTTCAGCCTTTGGATTCAGTTTGGACATGTTTTCATGTATCTTCATTACCGTACTGATCTTTAGTATTCTTACATTTGACGAAGGTAATCAGTTTGATATTTTTGTCTGTTAACCTCTTTTAACATATTATTTTCCAGCTATGGGTATCACTGGTGGTGCCGTTGGTTTGGCAATTTCACAAGCTTCTTCTCTAACGGGTATGATACAATACGCTATGAGAATTACAGCAAACATTTCGAATCAGCTGTTATCTGTGGAGAGAGTTCTAGAATATAAACAACTTCCGCCAGAACCTGAACCATCGAAACCAAAACCTTTACCGAAAAATTGGCCCGTTTCCGGAAAAATTGAGTTCAAATCAATGAAACTAAAATATTTCGAGGATGGGCCCACTATTATCAAGGATTTAACATTAAAGATTAGGGACAAAGAAAAGGTAATATTTGGAGATATTTACAATTACTAATCAATTTAATTAAATAAAAAAAAATTAATGTGATGTTTATATGGGATTAAGTTGTATCTTCTTCTTGTTGTTGTTCTTCTTCTTCTTCATTTTATATAGACATGACAATCAACATTTTTACTCCACAACTTTTATTAACCTTATTATTTAACCTTTTATATACCTATCATCGTCGATCGACAAGAAGCGGACAAAGGGGCATTTACAAACCGATTCGAACCTCAAAACTACGTTCGAATCTTTCCGTTGGTCCTTCGAGCCGGATCTGAACCAGCAACCTATGGATAGTATAACAAATTCTCTTAGCTCTCTAAAATCATTAAAACATATTTTTCCAAAACATCCTTATGGAAAGTTACTTAAATTCCAGTTTTCCCTTGCTCATTTACATGGGTTTTTTTCATGTAAAAAATTTTACGTAACAGAGTAAGAAGAATCTATACAACATTTTCGTTGACTGAAGTATAACAACTTTCGTTATTTTTAGGTGGGAATTGTCGGCCGCACTGGTGCAGGTAAATCATCTCTGATTGCTGCTCTATTTAGATTAGCAAATATCGAAGGGTCAATCATAATTGATGGCATGGATACCGGCGAAATAACATTAAAAGATCTAAGATCTAAAATTTCAATTATTCCACAAGACCCCGTGTTGTTCTCAGGAACCTTACGATACAATCTTGATCCCTTTGAAGAATACACCGATGAACAACTTTATAGGGCTTTAATGGAAGTAGAACTTAAAGATCCAAATAATATTATTAATAAACTTGAAAATAGAGTGATGGACCGAGGGTCGAATTATAGTGTTGGGCAGAGACAACTGATTTGTTTGGCAAGAGCGATCATAAGGAATAACAGAATTCTGATGTTAGATGAAGCTACGGCAAATGTGGATCCTCAGTAAGTATCTTAATCTTCTATTTTTTTGTTTATTAGCTATTTTATAGCACTTAAAAATATTATTCTCTTTCTGTTGTTGATCACATTTTGTTAAGTTTTGTCTTAAAGTTTTCTTCTAACTTATGATATTGATGGGAATACACGATCCACATGACAATTTTAAATAAATTTATTATAATTATGTTTAAAATATTTTAACGGTGAGCATTATAATTTTAGGACTGATGCACTCATTCAAAAAACAATACGAACGAAATTCGCAAATTGTACAGTCTTAACAGTAGCTCACCGGCTGAACACGATCATGGACTCTGACAGAGTGCTAGTTATGGACCAAGGAACAGTGGCAGAATTCGATCACCCTCATATTTTGCTACAAAATGAAGATGGAATATTTACAAATATGGTTGAAGGAACCGGCAAAGCAGTTTCCGATCAATTAAAGAGGATTGCTCGGGATACATATGAGAAAAGTGTTGTTTAGGACCAATCAATGTGATAATGTTAATTTATTAGTATTTGTTGTATCTCATAATTTATAAATTATTTTAATAGACTTTTTTTATTTATCGTTTTGTTTTTCTGATTATATATTATATTTGCAACAAGTAGTTATCATCATGACAATTCTTTTTTATTATTAATTAAAACTCACACCAGCTTAGTATGGAAATTAGAAGTTAAAGAAGAAGAAATTATTAGAATACTTTAGTTAGACATACAAAAAAGTAACACTCAAAACATATAGAACACCACTTCTACGGAACACAAAAAGAAATATGGAGAGCGATCAGAGGACAAAGAAAAGAGATGAACAAATTAATAAAAACGAAACACATTCAGAAGGAAACATGAGTAGACTATTTTCGATTTATATTTGCTAAAGGTGACGATAATGAATCACCAACACCAGAGGCGACGACAAACGAAGAAATAAATATTAAGGAGGAAGAAGTAAAGAAAGCATTAATTAAATTAAAAAATAAAAAATCACCTTAAGAATGGAAATCAAGCATCCTAATACCTCTCTTCATAAAGGGAGACAAATCGGACCCAGAAAATTACAGAGGAATTAATTTATTAAACACAACGATAAAATTATTATCCAAAGTGATAACAAATACAATGAATGAAAAATGATATCACTAGCAGAAGAACAACAAGGTTATCAAGGTCGGGAAGATCATGTACTGATGCTATATTTATAATAAGGTAAGTGCAAGAGAAATCAGTAAAATACAACAAACCGGCATATCTATGTTTCTGGGACGTTAAAAAGGCATTTTATCTGGTCAAAACAAAAGACGTTATCTTCATACTGTACGCAAGAGAGATACCTGTAGGAACAATCAAAACGATCGAAAAAATCTACCAAAACAACAAAGTAAAAGCAGAAGAAGAACTAACCGACCTTAAGGTATAATAATAATTATTAAAACTAGCAATGGGGTAAGACAGAGAGATTCATTGAGTGAATGGGAGAAAAATAACTTAAAATAATCTGAATCTGCTATACAGACGACGCAATACTACTATCTCAAAGTGAAGATAATTTACAACACTAGTGTCTAGAGACTGACCCACTGTTCTGTGCAGACTTGCGCAGTTCATTTGTATCCACATCTGAATGTGACAATGAGGTTTATGTGTATTGTTGGTTGCATAAGAATAAAATTAATAGTAATTGTAAATAATACCAAATCAAAATTAAAGGTTTTTTAAAATAGTTTTAAAAAGTGTTTTAAAAAATACTTTTTGCGCATTTTTTGCAATAAAAATTTGTTATTTTATATACAGAATGTTGACTGATGTTATATGTCAATTACTATTATCGTCGGAGCGGGATAAGTATTTATAAAATTATACTTAAAAGCTGAACGTTTTATTGGGGGCATTGTCTTGAAAAAGACAAATGCTGAGGGGTTATTTATTAGTAGGGAATAAAACAACCATTTCTAAGTAGAAAAAAACTCAGCTTCAGAGTCTTTTTAAACTTTTTGCAGAGTCCTCCAACGAGGAGCCCTGCGGCTACTCCTTAAGAGTAAAACCAGAACTCACTGTAAATCGAAAAATGTCCCATATTTAAAGTATATTTAACTTTTATATGAAACTTTTACGATTTTTAACCAATAGAATTTATTAAAACTTCCAAAAGGAGGGACGATGCATGTCGATGCGCGAGATTGCGGCGATCGGCGACATCCCCCCCCCCCCCGCTTTGGAGACTCTGAGGCTGATAAAAAAAGCTGATTTTATTAAAAGCATTAAGAAAACAGAATTTTTTACAAGTCAAAAAATAAATTTAAAAAAATAATGCATAAGAATGGCAAAATTAAATGTTCAAATGTTGTCAAAGTCATTACTTACAGTTTTCTTAACACAAAACTACACTCGCGTGGCACTACACTGCACAAAAACACTCACAGGCGGTGGTCGGTGTTGTGGCCGGCTTCTGCAGGTCCCTCCTCGGCGATGTGGTAAGTCGTCGGCCGCTACGTCTCGTTCTAGCCCTTCAGTACCTTCTGCATGTCGCCGGTGGGTCGTAGGCGAGTTTACCTGAGCCTCCATGGTGCTCCCACATCCCACATACTGGTAGGTCAGGCAGTGACTGGCTACTCCGGGGACATCCATCGTGCATCAGGTACGGCATCAAGGTAGGTTGGCTTCGGAGAAGGTCACACATCGACGGTTACAGGTTGCAGAAGGTTGGATATCGGCATATTAGTGTATAACATACTAATATCCGATCCTCTCCCCGCTGTTTCTTGAGTGGTTCTTGTTGCAGACCACGTGTAGGAATTTCTGCGATGTTGGAACGCTAGCATGAGAACTCTGAACACTCAGAGCGTGGTTACGTTCGAATTTGTTGGGCGCCATATCGTCGGAGCGGGATAAGTATTTATAAAATTATACTTAACCGCTGGACGTTTTATTGGGGGCATTGTCTTGAAAAAGACAAATGCTGAAGGGTTATTTATTAGTAGGGAATAAACCAACCATTTCTAAGTAGAAAAAAACTCAGCTTCAGAGTCTTTTTAAACTTTTTGCAGAGTCCTGCAACGAGGAGCCCTGCGGCTACTCCTTAAGAGTAAAACCAGAACTCACTGTAAATCGAAAAATGTCCCATATTTAGTATATTTAACTTTTATATGAAACTTTTACGATTTTTAACCAATAGAATTTATTAAAACTTCCAGAAGGAGGGACGATGCATGTCGATGCGCGAGATTGCGGCGCTCGGCGACACTATGATACCACCGAACAACGGTGATTCATACCTGTTGTTCGGTGATGATACCAACTTTATTATTTTAAATGAAACATTGGTTAGGTATAATATAAATTTTTTGGATTATGCACAAAATTCCCAGAACTTTGATATATTGCATGTTATAGTTTTAATTAACTTATTTTAGGATACAGGGTGGTTAATGAATAGATCACTCTCTGCGTGTCTCCTTATGACTTTAAAAGGTTCTATACCTAATTTCAATAAAGAAGAGTGAGTTCATTTTCGTATCTCAACTTGTTTTTAATAATGTATATAGTATAGATATGTACCTATATTCTTTTAAAATAGATATTATGTCATAGAAATGAAACCTGCCTATATTTTTACCAGGTGTGAAATGGAATGTACACAGGTAAGTATCTTAAAGGCTATATATTTAAAAGTTAATATAGAAGGGATTGTGCCTTTAATACATTGTATAATAAAAACAGTTAAATAAAAGCATGGCAGTCCAATATATTGATTCTTTGTATTTTGTATTGGATTCAATAACTAAATAATATACCTGGTGTTCCATCTAAAATAATAAAGTTGGCAAATGGATGGGTGACAAAACGAAAACAGAAGTGAAACGAACACATCTAGTAGAATGGCAGAGAATAGAATAGTACGAATAGCACGAGGTAAGTCACCAAATGGACGAAGAAGTATTGGCAGACCAAGAAAAAGATGGTGCGACAATTTAAACAATTTAGCATCATATTGAATACAAAACAGGCTTTCTAGTCTACATCCAAGAAGAAAGAAGAAAAAGAAATGAGGATGAGTTTGGGTGATTTAAAAGATGTCACTGGTTACTACGCTTGGAAGGATTCTGACACTGGACGAATCTGGACTACGCAAACGTCGACTTTCAGTAGGTATTTATTGTTTTATATTTTTTAAGAGCTCAGCCAATATTTGATATTGTTAAAGAGAGAGACAGAGTATGCTCCTTAGTTATTATTTTAAACTGCACAAACAACCTTTAATATAATTTTAATACAAAAGAGAATTTAAATATGTAAATTATACTACTTTCATAAAAATTATTTTTAAAACTAGCTAAGTTTATTTTAAATATAAATGCTTTTATTTTTGCAAATATAGTTTTTAAATTAAAACTTAATTATCATTTTTAATCTTTTTTCGCTTTCAAAAATTAAATCCTCGTCGACGCTTTCTCTAAATCCATAAAAGTTTCAGTCGAGCAAATTGCAAGGTTCTAAAGTTAAAATATGGTAATTTAGCTTTAAATATCCAGTGTTTCAAAAAATCTTCATTTACCCTTTTCGGACGCAACATTGCTTAAAGAGTAATAGGATAATTGTATGTACACTGAGAGAGGATTTTAAGATTTATAGAATATAATTAGAGTTTTTTACGGACGATTAAAAACGACGACTTTTATTTCGAAATATTATGTTTACGCAAAATTTTATAGACTATACTTTATTTTTATTATTGTTACATTGCATGTTTACTATCTACTTTATACACAGAGTAATAAGTAAATAGTCTGAAGTAAATTAACGTGAGTTAGATACCGTCTAGTGGCAGTCCTCTAAGTGTTATTGCGGTAGGTTTCTGATCATACTCTCTTCAATCTTCTTTCGACAAGTGGTTGGATGAATAAATTATTTATCAGCTCGTTGTTGTGATCAGTGGTGCGATTTTTATATTTTATTCTTCTTCTTCTGAAGGTGCCGTGCATTTCTGCGTAGGCGTCCACCGTAAATCGTCTTGTCAGGTAAGATGTTAAATATTCAGGATTAAATAATTCTGTTTTTAGCAGCATTGCGAAGCATTTCATAGCTGTGGATTCCTGTCCATTATCGAATATTGCGCTGCCATGACATTTTTTTACGTCCCAGACCTCTTCTACCCTCTATCTTCCCTTTGAGTGTCAGTTGCTAAAAAGTGTATCTTTCTCCTCGTAATATGTGCCCCAAGTATGCAGTCTTCTTACTTTTTACATAACTAAAAAGTTCCCTATCCTGTAAGCCTGCTCGTCTTAGAACTTCCTTATTTCTGACCCTGTCTGTTCATGATATTCTAAGCATTCGACGCAGGCACCACATTTTAAACACTTCAAGTTTGTTAATGGAACTGGCCTTTGACGTCCATGCTTCCATTCCGTACAGGAGAATGGGCCACACGTAACACTTAAGCATCTTGTATCGGAGGTTGAAGTCCAATTTGCGATCAGTCAGAAACTTACGAAGCCTCAAAAAATCATTTCTGGCTTGTTTAACTCTACTCTTTATTTTATTATTAGGGTACCAACCCTCGTTCAGC